TAGCAGTGATAAAATTTAAATATCCCAGAATATCACTGTGAAGCTCAAATAGCTGCCTAGCAGATGTTTGTTTTTTTTTTCTTGAGGATGACTATTGCATAATAATAATTTTAATATGTGACCTACAGTGTTGGATTCTTAGACCTCTGCTTTTCTTTTTCCATTTAAAGACTGTCCCAAACTCTCAAGGTCCTTCTCTAACCCTTTTTGTGCTCCCTGCAGCTCACATGACGGCCGACTTGAGTCCATCACTTTCCTACAGTTCCCATCCCATTTCCCAACCTCATGTGCTCCTCCCTTGTATATGATTACTATACTATCACAAGATTAATAGGTAACATTTAGCCAGCTACTGGACTAAGTGCCTTCCAAACATAATCTCATTCAATTTTCACAGTATCCCTTTCAGGTGTGTGTTCTTCTAATCTACATTTACAGGTGATGACATTGGAGGCTTGGGAAGAGTAGCAAGAGAGTGATTTGTATCTAAGGATTTGAATCTCAGCCCTGCCACGTGTTAACTAGGTGAACTCAAGAACATTATTTTACCTTCCTGAATCTCTTTTGTCATTGGTAATACTGGGGATAATAGCACATGAGTACCTAATTTGCAAAACTCTGATGGTCAAGGCAACCAATATAAATGACATATTATAGAATATGGCATAATCTTAAAAGCCCAAGTCGTTAAGCTCTACAGACCTGAGTTCAAGTTTTATTTTGGTTTCTTTCTTACATCCCATTGCTGACAATTCTACTTCCTACTGTATCTCTCATATCCTGGTACTGTTCTCCATCCCTATAACTATCTTGTAGTTTAGACATCATTTGTTATGAACTAATACATTAGCTTTTTAAAGTAGCTCCCTGTCATAGGTTTCTTTTCTAATTTGACTTCCACGCTGATGACAGAAATATGATTCTCCATTACCTGCAGAAGAATAAAAGCGAATTCTTAGCAAAACATACCTGATCTTTCACAACCTTTACTGAGTCTACTCCTCTAGCCTTATTTTTCATCTCTTGCCACTCTGACCCTTGCCCCCATGCCCTTCACTAGAAAGCTTGTGAGCGCAGTGTTCCATCTGTCGTGAAATCTTCGTATGTCTACCCCATTTTTATCTGACTGGGACCTTCTTATCAACCTTCAAGGATTATCTCCAAATTTGTCTTTTCTCTGAAACTTCCCAGTTCCCTTTATTCCCTGTCCCCACACCCCCAACACATAATTCAGAGTGGACCATAGGTTTTAATACTTGACTCCTTGACACATTATTTATTCATTTTTGTGCTCCCATCTCCTGGCAGTTAGAAGGAATTTACAAACGGTAACAAAAAGTAATTACGCTATTATTATCTAGTGAAAACCGACACCTGTGAATAGGTAAATTATTGTAAATTGTCCTTTCTTATATCATTTATACTATTAAAATTACCTAATCAGGAAATGAACAAAAGAAATGCCACCAGGACCTTATTTGATTGTTAAAAACAAATTCTTTGTCTATAGCAAAAACAACAACAACAACAATCCAAGACAAAACTTGTTCTTCCACACTACAAATATTTACATAGAAACTGCACTAACTTATTGTGTATCTTTGTGTTAGCACCTCTTTCTTTTCATTGATGTTGTTTCCAGTATGTGGTGCTTGTGACTGGAAGGATCAGCACATGACCATCTCCTCTTCTCATTCTGTGCAAATATGGCTGTGGACTTCCTTGACTTGTTGCTTAGACACCTGTTTGTTGTGTTCCAACTCTTTAATCTGAACTGCTTGCTATGGTCTGAACGTTTGTATTACCTCAAATTATTTCACATATTGGAATCCTTATACTCAATGTGATGGTATTAGAAGATGGGACCTTTCGGGGGTGATTAGGTCATTGGGGGATCCCTCGTGCATGGGATTAGTGCTCTTATAAATGAGATCCCACAGAGCTCCTTAGCCCCTTTCACCACAGGAAGATACAAGAGGAAGTTTGAAGCCTGGAAGAGGGCTCTCCCCCACGGATGCTGGCACCCTGATTTAAGACTTCTAGCCTCCAGAACTATGAGACATAAATTTCTGCTGTTTTTTTTTTTTCTTAAGATTTTATTTATTTATTTGACAGAGAGAGACAGAGCACAAGGAAGGGGGAGCAGCAGGCGGAGGGAGAAGCGGAATCCCCGCTGAACAGGAAGCCTGATGTGGGGCTTGATCCCAGGACCCTGGGATCATGACCAGACACTTAACTGACTGAGCCACCCAGATTCTCCATTTCTGTTGTTTATAAGCATCCCAGTCTGTGGTATTTTGGTATAGTAGCTCAAATGGACTAAAACACTGCTGTTTTGAAGTTACCACGAACAGCTTTCTTACCAAGTTGGTTGATTTTGAGAGTATTGAATTCTTACCCTTTTTGACCTCTATATCATGCAACACTATTTTAGAAAATTATTTCTCTACTGATTTCCATGAGATCATGCTTTGATTACATCCTCATTTTGTAAAAGTCTGCATTAAAAAATTCAAATTCCTAATTATGTCATTCTTCACTATCAAACATCTGCTCACTTTTATCTGCAGTCAATCTCCTCTTTCATTCTTTTCCATGACAGTAGCTCCTCGTGGATAATTCCCAAATCTGCATAACTTATGCTATCTATTTACCTGCACTCCATTTCCAGTGCTTAACCACGAAGATATCTTCTACCAACTCAAACTCATTTATTAAACATGAAATATATGAAGGACACCTGGGTAGCTCAGTCGGTTACCTTCAGCTCAAGTCATGATCCCAGGGTCATGTGATCAAGTCCCACGTCAGGCTCCTTGCTCAGCGGGGAGCCTGTTTCTCCCTCTGCCTGCTGCTCGTCCAGCTTGTGTGCTCTCTCTCTATCTCCCTCACAAATAAATAAATAAAATATTTTTAAAAATAAAAAAATAAACATGAAGTATATGTTTTTTTATTTTTCCCAATTTTTCTAATGTCCGTGATTATCATTATTTTTTTTAATTTTTCCATCCTACAGGAATCCTTCTGATTATAATTCTTTCTTTTCCATAATAAGACATATTGAAACTGTATCCAAGCATGCTTTTTCTCCCTCTAATTATCTCTTACAATGCCCTTTCCTAACTGTTGGGTATTTTATTTGGCTCTTCTCACCCTAAGTCACTTCTTTCCTTCCTCTTGGGCACATAGCTGATTCCACCTCGGGCTGAGACCTGCCACGTGACTTAGTATGTGCCGATGGAATATGAGCAGAAGAGAAGTGGGCAACTTTCACCTCACTGGCTTAAAAGATGCTTGCCCGAGTTTACTCATCCTCCTTTCCTTTCTGCTGACTATACAGGATGACACCGTGAGGAAATTTGGGAGCCAGATATCGAATAGGCTGAAGCAAGCCCCAAGTTCCTAAGATGATCTCCTAGAAGAGAACCAATTCCCCACCTAGGACTGAAAGAGAAATAAGCTTCAGCTTATTTTTGTTTCTGGATCCTTTGATAAAGCATGTTAGCCCTTATTCTAATGTGCTAATTATTACCAACTCAACAGTCAAGTCTATGCCTCTCAATAGTTCTCACCAGAGTTCCTGCAGTGTTCTTGTACATTACTTTCTCATTCTTGTTCACAGAGGCCCAGGACCTTGGCTCTGACAACTTGTTTAGGCTATAGGAGAGGATCACAACTTTCCCATCAGCTGAAGTAAATGGAATTGAAGCCAAAATTATATATCTACAGCATCTTAGGGAGAAACTGAAATAAAAATCAGGCAGTCTTTCTAACTGATTGTTCCAACCAAACAGGCCAGATACTGGAGGAATCTAAGAATAAGAATAGAGGACAGAAACTGGAGAAACCAAACGGCAGTAGGGGACTTCAAACCAGAGGGTGAAAGACAAAGCCTGGAGAGACTCCTTCAGCTGGGAAGGAGAACCCTGGCATTTCAGGGAGGAATGTGGCCTTGGGTCAGAGTAGGGAGGGGCAGTGCGTAGACTCTAACCTAGACATCTCTTATTTCTCCACTTTCCAGGGCATCCTTTGGTTTAACAAACAGATCTTCCCAAGTAGAGACAAATAGCTTCAAATTAATCTTATTAAATCTGATTTCATCATGCCAATTATGCACTGCAAGATTAAAACACTATAAGCTACAATACTTTGTAAAATACGGTACTAGCTAGAACTGAAACAATGAAGGAAAGAGAAAACCCAGAAACATGCCCAAGAAAATTTAAAACCTTCATTTTTAATAAAGCACCAAACACCAATGATCTAAGTGTTGATTTTCCATAAAAGTTTTAGGAAACTAAATTAAATAATGTTTAGCACAACCTTAAGTTAAGGTTTGTTCCCTTCCATTATATACCGAACTAAATTACTCACTAATTAAATAATCTGATTCATCTACTCATTTATTAATTCAACGAGTATCTATTGATTAGCTACTGTGTGCTACACTCTGGGATTATAATGATACACAAGACCTACTCTCTCCACTAATAGACCTCAGAGTCTACATGGGAAGAAAAGACAAGTAAAGAGAAAATAGAAGGGCAACAAATTGAGGTTAGGCAAAGGCTTCCAAGGTGAGAACTCAAGGAGGAGTCGACATTATCCTGGGAAACAAGAGGGACAGGCAGAGGTGAAGGAAAGCTTTCCAGCAAGGAGAACAAGGTGTGTTAAGACTGGAAACAAAGTAAAATATTTTACTTTCTGAAAACTGCAAGAAGTTTAGTAAGGTGGCTATTGGCATGTTATTCAAATGCCTTCTTGGTCTCAACTGCCTAGTGCAGATGGAAAAGACAGGCCCAGTTTCAAGATATCTTCAACATGTCCTTATATTCGGGAGGGTGGAGGGGAATGCTATATTGACAACTGCTATCAGAAGAAAAATGTGCAAATAAATGACATGAGTAGGCAGAATTATTTAAAGTTGTTACTGTGGTGACTATTTATAGTAAAAGTTGTGGTTATCTTTTCAGAAACACCAATATCCAGGGAGAAAAAGAATGTTAAGAAAAAACAAAATGTTAATTTTTAAATACTTTCTTAATCTCATTAATGGAGCCTTCTTGGTAAGATTCTTTATAATTATTTCGTAAAGAAAATGTAATGCGTTTTTATTAGCGAATATAAGCACTGACTGTCTTTTCTGTAGGTTCTTGGACTTTTACTCATGGGATTTGGTGCATGGCTCTTATTAGATAGAAATATTTTTTTCACAGCTTTGGGTATGTATCTGTTTTTCTTTTGCTCTCTTGAGTGAAGCCAGGCATTCCATTCTAAATAACTGCATACATAATATATTCAGCAGGTGGCAGTATTTCTCCAAAATTCATTAAGTATTGTCCAAGAATGGAAGATTGTGCTTTGTTCTAATACACTCCGGATGAAAAGATAGTGGAGACCAATGTAGTGCTCAAGTTAAATCATTTCTTTTAAAACTCAATTACTCTCACCATTACATGTTACAAATAAAATATATTATCCAAATATAAATGAAATAGTTGAATGCGTTTAACTAAATTTAAAAACCCTTCGTTTTACCATTTTGTGGTATGCTGTGGTCACTATGGACTGAAGTTTAATAGACTAAGTGTTATTTTTGTATACATATCCTTGGTGGTTGGGAAGGAAGCCATATTTCAAGTGCTCAATAGCCGTAAGTGGCTATTGGGTATTGGCTATCTTACTAGGCAGTGCAGATTTAGATTCTTTCCACTACTCAGTAGGCTCTATTAGACAGCACTGTTACCATTAAATATATGACAAAAAGCATGCATACTGTAGAACAAACATTTCTTAGTGGACTTCAAGTAAGAAAAAACATGTTTGTAGGAAAACAAAAGCTAAATAAAAAGATTTAATAGGTAATAAAGTGCTACAAAGTATTGAATAATTTAGTTAAACTTCAGCTACACCTAAGTGCCTGGTATCTTTATTCTCTTCTGTTTATATACTTTGCTTATGGCAAAGTATTTGTGATGTCTGAGTGCATTAGTGGTTTGCTGAGAGTACACGGGTGTGTGGCGATCTTATGACAGCCTTTCCTCTTTCCTTTCCTTCCGTAGAAGAATGGCAATGGTAGCTTCCACTTCTTTAGTGTTGATTATGTGCCAGGCATTGGGCTAAGCACTTCCCATACAGGATCTACTTTAATAATGTAGTAGTTAAGGTAGAGCAAAAGTCTTTTCTTTTTTCTTCCCCTCCATTGTGGAATTGAAAGATAATTCTCACTAACCTTAACGTACTTGCCTGTGCAAAAAAATATATCCTAAACAGATAGTCAGAAACTTATCCTTTAAGTTCTGTTTCTTTTTAAAAAAAATTATGTATTTAAACATTTAGTGAAATTTAAGACATGGAACTGAAAATAACCAGTTTGTGGCAAGAAACTGGTTGGTTCCTCCCCTCTCTTTCATGTGCAACTTCCAACGAACTTACCTCTTCTTAAAAATGATTCTGCCTTCCTCTCCATTTGTAATAACACCAGGCCACCCAAGAGCCCCATCTTCCTTCCCTCTGCCCCAGTAATAACCTCCAACAGCCTTGTGTTCTGATCTCCTTTCTCAGCCATCTTCCAAATGCCACTGAAATAATTTAAGATGAAAATCTACCCCTAGAACACGAAAAGCTTTTTTCTGGTTCCCCACTGCAATTATTTATTCATAGGACAAATATTTATAGAGTCTGTTCTACATGTTAGTCACAATCCCGTGAGCTGAGGAAACTGTACTGTACAAGAAAGATATATTTTGTCCTCGCGGAGCTTAACTCCAATGAGGAAGACTGGATAAGAGCCTACAAAGTGTGCATAATTTGGGCCCTGCAAACCGGCCCAGTTTCACCTGCTTCAAACCCTAAGTGCCAGCAAAGCTGAATATCCAACACATACTCTGCTGTCTGTGTCGCAGAATGCCTCTGTCATTCCAACCGAGATCTTTTCAGTCCTCATTAAAGCCCAAGCACAGTGTTGCCTTCGCCAGCAATCTTGCCTACCTACACTCTCCAGCCTCCTCCCCCTACGGGCTTAGGGGCTCCTGTACCCAGGGGTGTGCTGGTAAACGTTTAACAACTGGCTCTGGGATACAAAGTCTTGATTTACGGTATTTACTGATTTCTGTGGTTTAAAGACGTAATGCCACAATGGCTGATTTCACAGTGCCAACATGAATTGGGTTGGCTTACGAATTTTGTGAAAATGTAACAGTTGGCGTTTATGAGCCAGAACAAGCTGGTTTCCAGGACACCACTGCCTGCACTGTTCTCCCATAAAACCTACAGCATATTTAATTTATTTCTTCTTCTTTTTTTTTTTTGACAAATATTTGTGAGGCATTTAGTGTTCTACAGTCTGTGTCATAACACTAAACATTGAACAGTTAGTCTGTTGACTATATAAATATATATAGTCTCTACTAGAGAGCTCAGTCTAGATGAAGAGAGAATAAAATATAGTTTTAATGGGGTCATATTACCAATAAACTCAGACTTTCATATAAGAGAAACTTAACCCACACATGTTAGATACCTCTAAAATTTGTGTGAATAAATTCGTAAATGTTTGGATGTTCATTAAACATAGAAGAGTTCACCCCGGGGGGGGGGGGGAAATTCTGCTTTCATAAAAGACAATGAAGATAAGGTAAAAGAAAGAGATCTTTTGAAATTGAAGAAATTTTCTATCATGTCATTAATGGAAGAAAAGTTGTTGCCAAGACGAAGTAAGAGGGTGCCAGAATGAAGTTTAAAAAAGACAGGGAATCCTACTGGTTTGGCAGCCACTGCTTAGGGAAATCTTAGGTTACTGAATATATTATTAAACAGAATACAACATCACCTAATAATAATTTATTTTGTGGTTTCCACAGATGAAAATAATCACTTGATAGTAGATATTTTTCAAATTTTGATTGGAACTGGATCTGCTATTGTTCTTCTTTGTCTCTTGGGTTATTTGGGAATTCACAGTGAAATCAGATGGCTCCTACTTCTGGTATGTATTTCATCTTAATAGTCTGAACTAATTTGTATCTTTGATTTTGAGTGTCTATGTCACACAAATGAGCAATAATGATTTACGTCATAACATTGTAGTATAGTGTACCCTAGGGAATAAGGTACATGAAGCACTCCCTCTCAAGAAACTTCTAGGTAGCATGTTCTTGGTGAGTTTTCCATGGATTAAATCTGGATCTCTGCATATACACACTCAGATATTATTTTTCAGCAGAGTCAACAGGAATCCATCTCCTAGGGTAAACTACAATTAACCAAAATTAAGAATCTGAGGACAAAAATCCAAATAAACTATTAAAGTCAACAAGCAATGTGGCTTAGCAAGGAAAAGAAAACATATCCTATTCTCAACACATTTTCTCCCTGTGGGAATGCCATGTAGGAAGCTAACTTATAACTGAGATCACAATTTATTATTTAACAAAGAGAAGTAGAGCTGCTGAGAGGTCCAGACCCTGGCATCTGACTAGCACACTATGTCTCCCTAGCCATGTAACGTGAAAAGATAAATTGTAATTAGGATTATAGACATGAACATGAGCCACTTACCATACATGTGGCAGGTCTGGATCACAATCCACAGATTCGGATGAAATACAGCTTTTTAACATTTTCTTTAAATCAAATCAGTTTTAATTCACAGGCACTCTCTTGTCCAACAAATATGAAATTCAACTGCAGACATTGTGTCTCTTACCAGGAAGAATGCGGAAGGACTTAGCTCTTATGTAACACTGAAAGTCTGGGTGGTCACTCTGGGCACTGGTTATCAGTCTGCGCTGGTCACCATGAAAACGCACTTCCCCAGCTCACAGGATCCCTTCCGGTCTACTCATTCTGCTGTTTGAATGGCCTAGGGTGGCAAAGGCAAAGCTGCTCTTACGCGGTATATCATCCAGGATATCACACAGTATATCAGTGAAACCTTTTGGGAAGGACTGATAGATAGCCACGACCTCAGCTCCTTCTCCGCGGTATCCTTCCCCGGAAACATTCACCCTCCCGTTGACACAGCAATTAAAGGACTGACGCCTGACACAGGGATCAGTTGCTATCCAATAATTGGTACCTCTTATTATTTGAATATTTCCCCTGGCAGAGGCTTTTTGGGCAAAGCTAGAAACCATTACTTCCTTTTCCCTCTGGGGTCTTACCACTCACCAGGGGAATGCCGGGAAGCCCAAGGCGTGATTCTGTTGCTCTGGGAATGCCCAGGGCTCCACAGTCAGGCTCAGACTCTTTCTAGTCTAAAACGAGATCTCACTCTCTCTTCTCAAATCCCACCTTTCTCTTCTTCCAGGACACTGAGCATAATTTTCTCATTGGGTTTCTAATTTTGGATCTGGAAGCCAGGACAGAAATGGCTTACAGGAACATTGTGATTTTCTCCTTACCATACATTTCCATTTAGGCAAAGAAGGCACAGAGCCTGATACTAGTATAAGATGGGGGGTCAGTAAGGAAAGGGGAAACTAGAGGGAGAAAACCAGACATCTTCTAAGTTTCTGCCTTATGGGATTCAAGTATTAATGGGCTGTGACCGAGAAGCCTGACAGACCCCTTCATAAGGAATGTGCATAATACTAGGTCCTGAAACCGAGACACCACACTCTTGTCTGGATGCTCCAAGGAAGGGAACTGCTAATTTTTGCCATCAGGCCACTTTCCCTATTCTCCTCTGAATTTACCAATACTTTTCTGATGGATACATTTTTCCTTTGACGATATTAATTCATGCAGTCAAGTTATGGGCAAATTTTATAGGCCTAAGCACTATTCTTTAGCTTAAAGGTGATTTTGCATACCCCAACTCCAGGTGAATAGATATTAGTTTCACAGTCTAACTCTTCAGGGCAGTTTTGTGTGTGTGGGGGGAAGTTATTATTTTTTTTTTAAGATTTTCTTTTTTTGACAGAGAAAGAGAAGGAGAGAGAGAGCATGAACATGAGGGCAGGCAGAGGGAGAGGGAGAAGCAGGCTCCCCACTGATCAGGGAGCCTTTTGACTAAGCTAGTATTTAACTCTGTTAAGTGTCTGCCAGCTCAATCCCATCACCCAGGACTCTGAGATCATGACCTGAGCTGAAGGCAGACACTTAACTGACGGAGCCACCCATGTACCCCCTCGGGACAGTTTTACTTCCCTTTTTTAAAAGTTTTTGGGCAGTATCTCACAGTACTCTGTAAGTGCTGGTAACACATAAATACACTGAATTTTTCTTATTATGATAGACATCTAACTATGTTAAAAGGGAATCTTCAAAGGTAAAAATCATGACTCAACATTTGTGTCAATGACCATGTGTCAGAAACTTTATTTAAATAATTAATCAGGAGTGCCTGGGTGGCTCAGTCGGTTAAGCATCTGCCTTCGGTTAAGCATCTGCCTTCGGCTCAGGTCATGATCCCAGAGTCCTGGGATTGAGTCCCTGCTCAGCGGGGAGCCTGCTTTTCCCTCTCCCTCTGCCTGCCGCTCTGCCTACTTGTGCTCTCTCTCTCTGTGTGTCAAATAAATAAATAAATAAATCTTTGAATAAATAAATAAATAAATAAATAAATAAATAAATAAATACTCAGTAAGGGAACTGTAAGAAGTAACAACTGGTTGAAGGAGAATTAGATTTGTGGAGATTTATATTCTCTATAGACTGTATTCATTTGCCTTTCCATTAATAGGAATCACTTTGGAAGGCAGCTATGCTCACCACTATACCACCAACGCAGGAATCACTTTGCATTGCTATGGACAGGGAACTTTTGTATTACTATCAGAATTCTGTACAGGGTTGAATACTAGTTTAGTCAAAGGTAATATTGCATACCCTCATAAGGTCAGAAACCTGGGAAAGTCCATTAGACCACACAAGCTTGCCATTAAAAAGAAACCCAATAATATTTTTTTATTGTTTTACACAATTTTTCCTGCCTCTACCAATCTCTTACTAGTGAAGATTAAGTGAGATAACGTATATAGAAGTATTAGAAATCTAAACTTCTAGGGCGCCTGGGTGGCTCATTTGGTTAAGCGACTGCCTTCGGCTCAGGTCATGATCCTGGAGTCCCGGGATCGAGTCCCACATCGGTCTCCCTGCTCAGCAGGAAGTCTGCTTCTCCCTCTGACCTTCTTCCCTCTCATGCTCTCTATCTCTCATTCTCTCTCTCTCAAATAAATAAATAAAATCTTTAAAATAAAAAAAAGAAATCTAAACTTCTAAACAGATCTAAAGACCATATTTTTGTCTCTGAAATGTTTGTCTCTGAAAATAGGAAATATAATTTATATCAATCAAACAAATTTTAACTGACTGTTTTAAAGTACTAATGTTTAAAATATGTGAAATTAAGAATACTAACAGCAAGTCATTCTTATATTTTAGTAAAATATTCAGACTGCTAATTTTTAAAAATCATTATGAATTCTAAATAATGTGTATTATTGTGTGCTCCTGTGATGAAGAAAATTGCAGTGGCTGTAAGTTTAAAAAATATAGTTACCTAAGTGTGAAAATGATTTCACTTGGCTTTGGATAGAAGTATTTTCAATTTTCAAAGCAAGAGTTTAAATGTACCTACAGACTTAATTTTACTATAGCAGATGCTTTTGTATTTTCTGGGGGTTTGTTATTGTTGTTACTTTGCACCTGATGGGTTTGTGTAGTAGGTCACAGTTCAGTGAGTTTTCTAGTGTTAGTGGACTGGCGTGTTAAGTGGATGGAGGTTCCCGATAAGTGAGTTACTCTCTATGACAGTTTTGGATCTGAATGAAGGAAAATCATCAACAACTTTGTAGACCAAGTGTTCTATAGCGTGCTCACTGAACACGATCACTTCTTTCTTAACTCTTATCCAAATGCTCAGTGAATTTTTTCTTTGCCTTTTTGTTTGAATAACTTCACTCATGTATATGAGGGCAGGGAACCATCAATACCTCTGTGTATTTTAAGACTGTGTATTTCCTATGATATGCATTTTCCCATCACTGAAGTATCTAAGATACATATTAGAAACATAGTCACCATCTCTGTTTTTCTTTTGTTTCAGTACACAGCACTGTTAATGTGGGCCTTTGGTGTTCAGGTTGTATTTTCAATATTCATCTTCATAAGGAAAAAGGAGGTATGGAAAGATCATCCTTTTATTTGAAATCTAAAGAAAATTGAATATCTAAAATTATTGAGACCTATGAGCCTATATTAAGAGCAAAAGATAAATGGCTTTTGAGGGGGACAGGAAGATTCATTGGAAGTACTATAGAAGTCTATAAGAAAAGGGCCAGGTGTCAGATCAGAAAGGTGGGCTAGGGAAATTTGTCTTGAACTCAGCAGAAGATTGAGAAAAATGTAAATGTAAATAACAAAGAACATGGGGGAAGAGGAGATGATACTAAGAGTAGGGAATCCAAAATTGGCCCCCCAGTCAACTGTGACTACCATGACTGACCCAATTCTATTTTTCTATATAGACTGACTATATTGTATTTTTTGGAAAGAAATACCTTTAGACTTGTACAAATTTGAAATTTGTGATTTTATTTAAACGAGATGAACTGAGGGTGCCTGGTGCCTGGGTGGCTCAGTTGGTTAAGCATCCAACTCTTGGTTTCAGCTCAGGTCATGATCATGGGTTGTTAGATCAAGCCTCACATTAGGCTTCCCACTGAGTGGGAGTCTATTTAAAGATTCTCTCCTGGGCCCCTGAATGGCTCAGTTGGTTAAGCTACTGCCTTCGGCTCAGGTCATGGTCCTGGAGTGCCAGGATCGAGTCCTGCATTGGGCTCCCTGATCAGCGGGGAATCTTCTTCTCCCTTTGACCCTCCCCCTCTCATGCTCTCTCTCTCTCAAATAAATAAATAAAATCTTTTTAAAAAAAATTAAAAAAATAAAGATTCTCTCCCTCTGCCCCTCCCTGCCCACCCCCTCAAATAAATAAAAATAATCTGTAAAATAACAATAAATTAATAAATAAGTGAGATGAACTGAATAATTCATGTATTTTGCACAGGTATGACCGTGAGTGATATAATTAATCACAGGATTTATATTTATCAAATTCAGTCAAAAAAACACATAATAAATTATCTGAAAAAAACTTTTGGAAACAAAACTTAACTATTGAGATCAATGATTACTTTCAATTTTTAAAGAAATTCATTGTTTCAGTGCAGTCGCATTCTATCTTTGTGTCGTGGGAGATTGTCCTGCAAGAAAAAAGCATGAACTTGAAATCGTACAGATCTGCAGATGACTAGCGCTCAACAAGCTACTTCAGAGCCCTGAGCCTGTGTCTTCATCTGTACAGTATGGTTCATTCCTACCTCCCTTAGAGAGTGACCATGAACTGACAACTTGAAAAGTTTCTGTAATGGAGTAGCTACTTAAGAGCTCTCTTCCTTTCCTTAATTAATTTCCAAAGGAGCCCCTGATTTATTCCTGTGCTTCCTAGCCTTCAAATTCTCTCTAGATGTAGAATCCTAAGCAACAACCAAACCCCAATAAAATCTTTCCTACATAACACCACTGACCTCCTACTTCATTTGCTCTCCTGTGCTGCGCATGTATCCTGGATATCTAACCACCCAGGACTTCTTGTTAATGACCTGACATTTAGTGTTAAAATTTCTTCTTGTGTGTGTGTGTACAGCATGTGAGTTCTGTAAAACTGTTTTTGTGGCAAAGCACTACATCCTAGCTGACTTTGGGGTCTGGTGATACAACTTGAATATAACACTTCAGGATCCTTAGCACATAAATTTAGTTTATCAGTGTTATCCATACTTACTTAAGTTTTATTCACATACTCATCTCTACTTAAGAATCAGAATGACCATTTGAGAATAATTACCATGTGCCAGAAACTGTGATAACCACTTTATAGACAATATAGTTTTGTCACAACAACCCCCAGAGTTGCATTGTTAGTCCTACTTTCTAGAACAGGAAACTCAGGCTTTGAGAGGAGAAATACTTGCTAAAATATATCATGGCCAAATGATAGAGCCTGGACTCAAACACTTATTAACTGAATCTAGAGCTAACAGCTTTGTTTACATAGATTTTTCTTCTACATTCGTATTAGATTAAGCTCTTAGGAGCCTTTAATCTTTCATGCCACTTACAGCACCCAACAGCATTGGAGGTTCACTAGGGCTTCAATGGATGTTTGTCAAAATAAATATGTGTGAGGGAATTTTATTTATATAGTAACCACAGAGATTATAGACGGTACTCTTATGTACTAAGATGTGATTTATATGCACTCTGGATCTCCCAAATGATGCTTTAGAGGATAAATAAGGACATAAGTCTGCCCCTTCCCCACAACAATATAAAATGGAAAAACATTTTCTATTCTAAATAAAAATTAACTTAGAGAATAAGCTCAATAAATAACTTAGAGATCTAAGTAACACTTTACGTTATTCTAATCCTAAATGCATTAAAGCATAGGTATATAAGTAACTGTGTAAGAGTTTAACTTGTACACATGGTTTAATTGTTGTAGAATTCCCACCAGGAATTTCCTTTTCATTATTCAAAGGCAGCATATTATAATGACAAATCAATAGACTAGAATTCAAATGAACTATATTTAGAAGTCTCAGCTCCTCATCATGATTCATGTAAACAAAGCAAATAACTAAATTCTCTGAGTATTTATCTCCTTGTTCATAAAATGGGAATACTATCCATTCTTTCTAACTTTTACCTTAGCTATGAAAGTCATATAAACTTTTAAATATTTAAGTAAGTTACTATTAAAATTTACCTCTGCAATGTCTAGATTTTGAAATAGTAGTTTCCCCCAAAATTTTCAAATCTGATTGTTTTTTGCTATAGTATTTTGAAAGGATGATTTTTTTCAATTAAAAATCATAATTCTTGTATAAGTATACAGTAGGAACAGGTCAATGATTTTATTTAACATGTTGATTAATGTGGGAACTGGTAAGAAATGAAAACCAGTTCAAAGGAGAGTACAAAGAAAAGACAGTTATAAAGGCCATTTCTTTTTTTTTTTTAAGATTTTATTTACTTTTGTCAGAGAGAGAGAGACAGAGAGAGAGAGAGAGAGAGAGCATAGCAGGGGGAGTGGCAGACAGAGGGAGATGCAGGCTCCCAGCTAAGCAAGGAGCCCGATGCAGGCAGGACTCCATCCCAGGACTCTGGGATCATGACTTGAGCCGAAGGCAGCCGCTTAACCAACTGAGCCACTCAGGCTCCCCTAAAGGCCATTTCTTAATATATACAAAACATGGTTCATAGGGGAGATACCAGTTGCACCCCACTAGGAAAAATTCATTTGTAACTTCTCTGACAAAGAATCAATTGTCTAACTATAGCTTCCTACAACTTATTCTAAAGTTGTAAAGTAAGTTAAAAACTGAGAAAGGTACAGACCCCCATAGAATAAGAAGACCCTGAAGTTATGCTAAAACAAGCCTAATTACCATTGAAATACTCAGTAATCTTTTTTGGTACATTTCAAGGTTTTTTACAATTTTTTTCTGAGGGTACAAGAAGAAAAGCAGAATCCTTAGACATACAGGAGAATAACACAAAACTTTCTCCCTAATCATAAAATAAGTCTCATATATTCCTCCTATAGATTACAATACAAAAAACCAAATGCCTCAGCACTCACTGAGATTGCTAAAAATAGTTATAAAGAAGAAAAAGAAAACACTTAGGAATAAGCAGAAAAGAACAAACTGACTAGAACACTCTTTTATTAGGAACCATAAGGAAAGTTTCTCACGGATTTTGACCTTTCTTCTTTCCAAGTTTTTATTTAAATTCCAGTTAGTTTAGGGGCACCTGGGTGGCTCAGTCGTTAAACATCTGCCTTCGGCTCGGGTCATGATCCCAGGGTCCCAGGATCGAGCCCCGCATTGGACTTCCTACTCAGCCAGAAGCCTGCTTCTCCCTCTCCCACTCCCGCTGCTTGTGTTCCCTCTCTAGCTGTCTCTCTCTCTGTGTCAAATAAATAAAATCTTTAAAAGTAAATAAATAAATAGATAGATAGATAAATAAATTCCAGTTAGTTTATATACAGTATAATATTAGTTTCAGGTATAGACTTTAGTATTATATATACAATGGAATATTGCTCAGCCACAAAAAAGAATGAAATCTTGCCATTTGCAATGATGTGGATGGCGCAAGAGAGTATCATGCTAAGTGAAATAAGTCAGTCAGAGAAGAACAAATACCATAAGATTTCAGATTTTGACTTTTGATGCAATTTTTAACAGGTTTACCAAGTATGGCATGATAAAATTGACTTAATCATTACTGAGTATGGATCTAAAGACATGCCTGAAGATATACCCAAATGGATTGTTCTGAATGCTTTACAGAAAACAGTAAGAAAAAATTAACATAAAACTAAAATATTAAATGTCAAATATGATCACCATAGGGTCGGGGGGGACAGGGAAGGGCAGGAGATAGGGGCAGAGGATTGAGGGGTTCTTGTATTTCTCCCCACCAAAACTGGGTTAATAGCACTATTCCCACTTATAAATCTTGAGTTTTATCCTCCTTTTGTAACTTATATCTCCTATTCTTGGTTGATTGATGTGCATTTTAACCCGGTGTCACCTGTAGAAGTGTTGGTGGTCTTCTGCCCTACTGCTCCTATGGGAGCACAGTCCTTGCTAGCAGCAGAGAAGCGTGGTGGTTACCATGTGAGCCAGAATGTCAGGTTTGCCACATAGCTTTTTGACCCTGGACAAGGAACCCTATTAATTTCAAGTTCCATATTAGTAAATGGACAGAATAATCCTTGCCTCTGATTGGCAGGGATCAATGAAGTCGTATATAGAATGTATAGGAAGCCTTGGATCTGGAACATAGTAAGCAACTAATACTTGTTAGCTAACATTATTAGGCTTATTATTTTACAGTTCAAATATAGCTAGGCAGGGTACAGGAATGGATATTGTCTCCCAGATAGTTTACAGGAATAGATCAGCAGCTGGAAGATCGTAAATGCTTGATAAAGAAAATAGCAAGCATTGACATAGCACCAGACCGTTTTGTAAATGCTTTGCATGTATTAACTCATTTAATCCTTCCAACCCAATAAAGTAAGAACTATTATCCTCATTTTATAGATAGTACCTTACCCAGGGACACACAGCTAATTAAGTGGCAGAGCCAAGATTCAATTCCAGAAAATGTAGCACTAGATGTTGTACTCTTAACTACTATACTAGGTGCCCCAATTAAAAACAGTTATTATTTTTGGTGTATATATTAACAGCAAGGCATTTTAGGAGAATTGAAATATAATTATAAATGCTTTTACTCATCTTTTTATTTCTCTGATATATATGTGTGACATGTACATGTACTGCCTTTTTAGATTGCATTAGGACTGATGGCAGAGAATCAAACCCTCCTATGGACATAAACTGATAAACAGGAAAACAGTTCTATGTATAACATCACTATTATTAATGAGAATCAAGCTTATAGTTCCAGTCATGAGTGTAGTTGAGATAGTACATATAGGTTCGATCAAACTCATTTTCAGTACCCAAAATCTAAAGCATTATTTTAGTCATTCATTTCCAAGATTGTTGGTACATATTGTGTCATAGGCAGGACTGATGTGATAACTTTCAATAACAAGATTAGAAAATAATGAAATAGTCACTCTAACTTTGTCTCATATTCTTGGTGACAAATATATAAGCTGATTCTTTCACATCCTTTTAATTCAACTTTATAGGATTGGAAATGAGATATTTCTTAAATGTTTTATCATTTCTATGGCTATTTGCCTTATTATCTCTTTTGGTTATCTGTGGTCATTTTTCACACAATTCAAAATTGGAAGTTAAAATCTTACATTAATCCTAAGAGAATAAAAAGAACCCAGAATCTCTTTATGTATATTAAATACATATGGCAGCATTTTGGGGATAAATATAAAGAGAACTGCTATAGTGAGGAGGAAGGTATGGCTACACTTATTCTCTCTTCTGTGTTCTGGTCCAAATGTAGTTTGTAGCTTCAGTAAATCAGATATACCTTCCATCCTGGGTTCCTTTATGCTAAGTTCAGATCTAACAATTTCATCCAAACATAGCCCACTTATATTTAAAGGTATTTAGCTCTGGTTAACATCAACAATAGTAGCAAAAAAGTAATGGATTAAACCAACAAAACTGGCTTATATTTGTAATTCACTACATTCCAATGGAGAATAATGAATTTTCTTCACAAAAACCACTTTATTGTGCATGGGAATCATAATTAACTGCATTTGAATATTTTATAGTAAAATTCATAGAATTTTTTTTCTAGTTACAGTGTTGTGGCCAATACAATTACACAGATTGGATAAAGAATACAAATAAAGAAAATTCAGAACAGGTGCCATGTTCTTGCACAAATTCTACATTAAGGAAGTGGTTTTGTGATGAGCCCCTGAATGCAACTTACCTGGAGGTAAAGATAAGGCTCTCCAAGTGTTTACAGTGCCTTTTTTTTTTTCAAGTCAATTTAGAATTCTGAGCAAAATTTTATATAAAAACAATGTTATTTACAGTGATTAGTTTCTTAAGTTACTTTATGAAACTGAACTCATAATTAAATGAATAGCTATTATTTCAGGTACATAGTAAATAAATTAAATAAACTTTCTGGAATTATGTCATGTAAGTGCTCCTAGAACTTGGGATACCATCAACCTTTCTCTCTAGCCCTCCTTCCCGAATCCCTGCAGAGAGAGGAGGCACTTTTGGTAAATCTCTGGTGTATGGGATTGGTAAGGGAGCTGCAGTACCAGAAGTAAAGGGGTATGAGGATTGGCAAAAACTGAAGGGAGGGGAGCCCAGCAATGACAAAAGCAGTGTTCAGGTAAATGTAGCAGAATCAAGAGTAGGGGTTCATCGGCTGCTTACAGGTATGGGATACTGATAAAGGAGATTTTCATCCCGAGAACTTCTAATATTATGTACAGTTTATAGGCTGATGTTTTCTAATTATAAGATGCATTTTTCAATTACATAATTCATTCATAGATAAATAGAGCCTTATGATTTTTTAGAAATTTCTCCTATTTGGGAAATAATCATTTTAGGTTGAAGTATATATACTTCATATACATATATATATATACACTTCACTTATATACCTTGCTGAATTACAGTAATCTGCAGAAAATTAGATCCCTCTCTAAATTTAATAAATTTTTTATTTCAGGGCACCTAGCTGGTTCAGTCAGTGGAGTTTGCAACTCTTGATCTCAAGGTTGTATGTTCGAGCCCCATATTGGGTGTAGAGATTACTTAAAGATAAAATCTTTAAAAAAATTTTCTGAGTTCAATTACGTGACAACGTCTTAGCAACCTTAAAAGTAGTAACTGAGATGTCCTGCTATCATATGAAGTTGTCTGGACTAAAAAAAGTCTATTCTCCAGTTACACATTGACTTACTTTTTAGACTTTGGTAAATTACTATCTCTATGTTTCTTCCTCTTTGTAATAGAATTATATATAAGACCACTTCCATCTCCAACTCAATCTAAATAACTTTTTTTCCTTAGACCTGTGAAAATAAAATCAACACATGGTATAGTACTAATGCTTTAACGTTAATTGGAATTAACTTTGGACTTTTAACTTCAGAGGTAAGCTTTTGTTCATATGTTTAGAGGCAAAAAATATTAAGCAGAAACCATACATTACAAACAGCAGAACAACCAACTGGAGTCCTAATCAGACAAATTAATACAATAGGAGTCAGGATCTTGAGATTATCTGCATCCAGGAGAGATAAAGATCCTAATAGGAGGTGATATCCCTAAATCAGCCAAATGGGATGACCAGTTAATAAATGGTCATCCTGGAAGGTAGTGATTCCATTGCTTTGTGAGATAGATAAAAAAAACTTCATATCTCAGCAGCAAGAGCCCATGTTGGGCAGTCTTCATGTTGGCAAATTTTGGAAGTCTAGACCGATGTTTGACATTAGTAAATCTGTTCACTAATACACTCATTTATTCATTCATTCATTCATTCATTCAGTAAATTTGGAGGGGGGAGAACATCTACTGTGTCAGGTACTGTGCTAGCTGTTAGAGATACAATGGGAAGTAAAACAGACACATTCCGTGACCTACAGGGTGACAGCTGTAGAATTGAGATTCAGAAGCAGAACTTCATGCTCCAGTCTCAGTGAAGACTGATCAAAGCAGGGGAAAGCTATGGATTTGAAGAAACTGTGAGAGTGAATACATTATTACAGTATAGACTGTAACATTGCAAAATGAATATATAATGCATGTTTTGGTCAGAACAAGATACAGCATTTAATTTTATGTTGAATCACAAAGGCATTGACGTAAGGTTCCATAAATTCTCTTCAACTGGTAACAGTTTTAGTCTCAGAATGGTGATTAAAACATTCTTATAAGCATGAATACCGTTCTTTTGAAATGTGTATCCTCCATTGTGTTCATGCTGAGGTATTTAAGACAAGACTGAATGGGAGACAGTACCTGTGGTCCATTTGATCATCTGCCCGTTGCACACCACCTTTAATGATTCTATCACAAAAAGAAGCAGTTTTGTAGGACTGATGACACAGAGAGATGATGAACAAAAACCAGATCAGCAGTTCAAGACATCTAGCCCAATGATAGCCCATGTAATTAAAATTGAACCGTCTATTAGTTAGTCCCTCCATAAATGAGCTTGTTGACAGCTGGGTTGCTCTAGAAGACTCACTTTGCACACTTCTTATTTGCAACCATATGTACCATCCTTTTTCCCTATACAGCATGCATTTAGGTGGTTGTAAGTGTTAGCTTTGCAAATCATTCTTATTGATTACATTTTGATCTCTTATCATTCCCTTTTCTTCCAGGTTTTGCAAATCTTCTTAACTGTTTCTTTCTTCAGACACATCAATAATAGAATATATGCAGGGGTGTGATCTTTGGATTTTAATTTGCCCAGAAGAAACCGGCTAATTCTCAAAATAATCACATCATGTTCTTTTACTCCCCCCCACCAAAAAAAGCTTTGAATTACATTAGTTAAATTTAGGACTTATTCAAGTCATTGGTCATATGTATCATAGAATTATTGAGTATTATAATAAATCACTCCATGAAATTCTTATTAATTTTGTTTTTCAAAATATCAAATTCTGCAGTTCAGAACTTTACCTTGAGTTATTTTCTGAATTCAGAGGATATCATCATATATACTGAATTCAAAATGTGATGAAGTATCGCCATGTTTTGAGTTTCTTTTGTAGAAAAAATACCTACATGATGTTCAGAAAACACTAATTAAGTGGGCAATTATAAGATGTACCTTACATTTGCAAATTTTAAGAAAACAACACTGATTTGTGGGAGATTTAAAAGAAAGATTGAAAATCATGACACTGACCTCTGTACTGAATTAATCATTTATTTCTGTCTTCTGATTAATGCTTAAAAGTGGATAATAAACTTAAAATTTTAGAGATTTGGGTATCCTTCAGTGGCAGTAATAAAATATTAAAATCACAATGAATTTTGAACTGTAATGAAAATGTCTTAAATGATCACTGAATTCCCATACTCAACTTGCTTCTCATTTTCTTCTCTCTTTTTCCTTAAATTTTGTTCAGTGCATACATATACAATTCTCTGAAGGAGAAAAAATAACCTACCTGTTCTATTTTCCTAAAAAATGATTTTCTGAGAACAGAAAAAAAAATCCTTTGACAAATAAAAAGTGCTATATAAATGTGAGGCAATCATATCATTGTTCCTTATAGCAAAAAGACTGCCTTGACCTCAAGGAAAGGAAGAAAGGATAAATTAGCTGAAGATCCTGTATTGCTCTCACTGCTATAGAAGGCTCACTGTAATTTACTAATTCAATCATATATCTTTTCATCCATCTGTTCAGTACACTGCAGATTTCAGAGACCTATGAACTTTTTAAAAGTCGGTGCAAAAAAAAATAGAATAACCATTTTCTCTAAAGCAGCCTGTAAATACACATACCTTCATTTCTTTAAGAACGATTATTTGGGGAATTTTTTATACTTCATTTTTTAAATTTTTTAATTTTTTTCATTTTAATTCCAATATAATTAACATACATTGTTATATTAGTTTCAGGTGTACAATATAGTGATTCAATACTTCTGTACATTACTCAGTGCTCGCCAGGATAAGCATAGTCACTATCTGTCACTGAGCCCTCTTTGCAACTCCAAAGCCTCACTCAGCACTTGACTAGGTGGCCACCAAATGCCAATGAAATTTAAAAAGTCAGATTATTCAGTATGCTATCAGATAAAACTCATTTGCCCTCTTAGATTGTCTCACTCTGACTGTATTCAATGGTTTTGATTTCATTTGGCCATCATAAGTATAATCTGTCCAAACTTGTTGGTAAACAGTAGCTGCTAGTTCAGTTAGTCACTGCCACCCACATCTCATTTCTCCAGGAACCTTCATAGGAGATGTTGGCAGAGCAAAAACTTCTCTAAAGGATTTCATTGAAACACATTTAATAGAATATTGCAACAGAAATACTGTCAGGCAGCCCTAAGTGTTTGTTTAACGTTTCCAACATCTGTGTAATATTTTTATACCTTTGTTTCCTTTTTCTGATCTTAGAGGAGTAGTTCTTCAGCATATGAGGCCCTGGCAAAAGGAAAACACAAAAATCTAATCTTTTCTTGGTCATGATATAAGGCTGAAAAAAAATAAAAATAAAAATAAATTTTAAAAAACTTATTTTACACCACCTGTTATTTATCATTGTTTAGCCTCTGTTAATTATTTATCTTCTGTATCCCTTTTTATTTTTGAAGTCACCCATTAGATGAAAGAGAATAATGGCATAATTCCAGTAAAGCTATAAATATTTATTGAGTAATAATGAATTTTAACCCTATATATAAACGATAAAACCTGGGAGAGCAGAAGCTATTCCTTGACAAATTAAAATATAGAGATTAAGCATTTGCTAGTATTCAGCATATTTGGAACAGTAAAAGGAAGTATTTTTGTATGAGAGCCTTGTAATATGACAACAAAATGTATAATCATTTTTTAAATATTAAAACTTATTACCCATTGTATTCAAGTACAGTAGACATTCTCCTGAATGTCTGGAAAGACTTATGGAATGAAATATACAGAATTGCTGAATTCCGTTCGTTAACAGTTGTAACCGTTCATTACAATAACAACAATAACAACAGCTATTTTATATCAGGGAAAGAGTATGAGAGATACTGGACAACAGCATGTCTGTAAGAATCTCTACAGTATTTTAAGAAAATCCAAAATTTGTTTAATATGTTTGTAAATAGCATTTAAATTATCCTATGTGGTGGAATTGGAAAGAAGATATTGCATGAAAAAAATCAGTCATTTTATGATTAATTTTCTAAGGTCTAGACACATAAAAATGCGGGCAAATCAGATTTTACAACTGATATTCCAATGTAAGTTGTTTACTATTTTATTCAGTTATTTTACTTCACTCAGGAGGAAATGATTTTTTTTCATTTTGTAGTGTAATTGCTATAACTGTTAAGATTACAAAAAGTAGGAAATATCAGAAATATGTAAACAACAAAATCGGATTTAACCACAAAATCAAGAGTTTTCATATTGTATAAAGTATACCACTATCTAGTGTTTCTAAATACTAGTAAATGAAAAATGTAGCATGACACAGACTGCAAATTTAAACCAATTGACATTATAAGAATTTCTTCTGTATTAAAAAATACAACATGTTTTGAAAGGTCTAGAATGATTCTACAACAAAGTTTGGCACATTACCAACAACTTCAGAGTGAATTATGAACAAAACAGTCACAGCATTGGGAAGGTTATTTTTTAAGTCTGTATGATGTGGAGATTCTGATTTTTAGTGTTTATTTGTATGTCTATTGGTGTTTGGCTTTTTCAGATGTAAAACTTTTCTTTTAAATCCAGTCTGCTTGGATTACTGTGAGATGCCTGAAACTGCATTTAATTAGTAATTCTTACTAAACACAAGAAACAGATAACCTTGAATCCCATCATACCAATTTATTATACATTTATATTATAAATTTACCATATCATATATTCATCCATATTCATTAAAAATATTACCAGCATCATTTTTCCATCTTTTGGTTTTAGTCTATTTCAAAGCCAATTCTTTTTCTATAATATCTCTGATATTTCTTTCAATCTACCAGATGTAGATTTGCCATCAGAAAAATTCAGGCTTTCAGAAACATTACCTATCTTTGTTTTGTCTAAATTAAATCCATGAGCCCCAGTATCACAACCATTGCTGGGTGGTCCCTCCCTTTCCCCAGGCCGCTACAGGGAGATTCATGTGTTGCCCAAAGGATGAAAAAGAACATCCAGGTCTCATTAAGCCCTGTACTACTACCACCACTCCATAAACATTTAAGATGGGGATAGGCTAATGTTTCCCCAATTCACTTGAGCCACCCTCTTTTGCAAGACTTGCAAGAATGTCTTGCATTATACTTTTAAATGTGAGGTTTTACAGATATTTGTTCTCTGCCTGAGGCCTTAGTCTACATGTAGGCCAGCTTTGTGATTTAGTGTCTCCATCATTTCACAAGCATACATCAAATAAATGAATTTATTTAAAAATTACGATGCCTCTCTCACTTGGGATCTCAGACTTAGAATAAAAGGCAATATTTTTTACTTATAAAGAACATTTTTCTGGAGACCTGTGCAGAAAAGGGTTAGCATTAACAAGCCCGAGACCACCTGTCCTTAGAAAATCCTGCTTACAAGGTTGCCCTCGCCTTGCACCTGGGGACTCAGCTGATAAAGTTTCGTACACTGATATAAAGCTTTCTTTAAATGATAAGAGTGGCTCATTGTTTGTGCAAATAATGCCGTTTATGCTGAACACCTGCTTTCCTTCTGGGATTCTAGAATGTAGATACATGTTAGGCAGAATGTGCCTATGTGACCAGTCCCCAGTTTAAACCTTGGATGCTGAGCATTTGATGAGGTTCCCTGGTAAAAAACAAAACAAAACAAAAAACAACAACAACAACAAAAAGCAAAAAACTTCATATGTGTTGTCACAACCCAATACTGGAGAAATTAGGTGTGCCCTTTGTGACTCCTCAGATAGGAGACTCTGGAAATTTGGTGCCTGATTTCCTCCGTACTTACGTCCCATGCTCCTTTTCCCTTTGATAATTTTGCTTTGTATCCTTCCCACCGTAACAAAGCATCGCTGTGGGTAAAATTACACTGAGTCCTGTGAGGCCATTTATTGAAACACTGAACCTAGATTGGTCTTGGTGAACCTCAGCCCACTCCCTGGAAAGGAGAATTCTATTTTAGCAAAGGGCTTGAAGCCATCTGAGATTCCGGAAGGATGCTGTCAATACACAGAAATGTATTACCTTCATCCAAAATACTTGCTCTGTATGTTTATTCTGGCAGCTGAGGTCATTACTATCATACAACTATTTTAATTGCCAGTCTTATTTTATACCACTCTCAAATAAGTCACTAAATCAGCCTGAGCACACTGTATTTTTCAAATAAGTTCTTCTGCTCCTCTCCATGTCTTTGTTCATTCTGTTCTTATTACCTTGGGTGCCTCCTCCAACTCTAATTGGTAGAAATGTAATGTCTTTAAGGACCACAGAGAGATAGAAGTGGAGTGGTTAATGCACGGTTTTGGAATTAGATGGTCTAGGCTCAAATCATGACAGGTACTAGCTAGAACCTTGAGCAAGTTATTTCTCCTTTCTGTAGCTCAGTTTCCTTATTGGAATGCATATAATGAAAAAATAAACCTACAAAAAAGTGGTACTCATGTGTTAGGATTAAATAATTCAACATTTGTAGAGTCTTTAAAACTATGTAACACACTGTAAATGAACATTATTTTTGTATTTATAACGTAAATGATACT